GCTGAGTATCAAGCTCACTTTGTCCGCGTTTTTTTTTTCGCAAAACTCGGTAATGCATCTTTTGCAACCGTTAAACCTTTGAACTGTATGGAGAGTCGCATTCTTCCGACTGCTTGCGACAGTAAAAAAATCATATGTGGATTTTAATTGATGTAGAAAGTAGATCAAGCCCTTTGCTTCTACATTGTTGATGCTGATAAGAAACAAAGTTAATTCTGAAATGATATCCACGAAAGTCCCCGCAAAATGGGCTTTTCGAATAAGGCCCCGGGCAGACTTCACGCGATTTGATCGTCGCGACTGAGTCGCGACGAGACAACTGTTACAACATCATTCCATGCCGATCAACTTGGATTCGGTTGTGATACTTTTCCAGCCCGAAATTTTTGAATGTGAAAGAAAATGAATGGAAATCTTGGCGATTAGATCGCGACGATTAAGTCGCGTGAAGTCTGACCGGGGCCTAAAAGGGACTTAGTCCATGCGGTGCGATAAGATATCGCATTCGCGAATCCATTCATTCTATACAAAAAATGCTTAAGCAAACCTTTCTCCAACTTGTCTCAACCTGTTTGCTCACTTTTCCAAACTCATTTCCATCAAGTGGTCGATATCTGACTATGCTGACCTAACATTACAATATGAGTTACTTGATATTCTTTTCTTTCCCACTTCGTTACACCCCTTAAAATGCCATATATTATCGATGACTATGCATCTAAATTACTCCCAAAACTAAAATTCATGTAAAATCCGGGCCTTCACCTTTCAAGGCTTCTATGAATCTGCATTGAATCAAATTCGTAAGTAGAGCTTTCTGCAGAAAGCAAACTTTGGCTGGACTTGCACTGCAATCTGTGAATTAAAATGCTTATTAGGAAACCTTCTACTACACTACAACTCAAAGAGTTTTTTAAATTGGGAAAACTACGAATTTGTAAAAGATGACTTCGCAAATGTACTACTTTAGGTCTTCTTTGTCTTTCAGCACTAATGTTTATATCTCTAAGTAGTTAAATGTACGGACTATTAAAGAAATTTTTCACAATTTTTCTTGCTAGCTAGCGGCACTTCATTAATTCTTGCGACCAAACTTAAAACCGCGTTTGAAATGCCGTCTTTTAGGTTGGTCTACGAGATTACTCAAAAGTAGCTTCTAAGTAATTACATTGAAACGAAAATCTTTTTTATTTTCAAACACAAGTCATAAATTGAGTTTTGGCTGATGATGTGGAGAGCCAACAAACTTTATTAGATTTGCATAGGAATTTTCGCAGCGATATATGATTTATGGAAGCATTCGAGATTGTTAGTAAATATTTTGGTAAATTTGACCTTCTTCCATGATTTTCATAGAGATTGTATGAATTTAGAAAAAAACACGTATCTCAGACTTCATAAAAGACATAAAACTCTTTCCACTCACTTATGACCTTAGAGGGCTAAGGAACACATTCTCAAAAAATCGCAACCAAAAATATGCAAAAAGGTCAAAAATGGACTTAGTCCCAGCTCACCTTGCTGTTGGGAGTAAAATGGGCCTTCAAGTCCATTTAAAATGGAGGTAAATCCCATTTTGCCCCATTCTAAATGGACTTTTGACGTCATCTTTCGCAAGCGAGAGCTCAGGTAGGGTTGAATCATTTTCATTTTACCGCATTGCCTCGTAGTTGCGATGGGATGAAAATTTTTGGACAACGCGCGCGAGAGCAGATTCCGACCACTTGTCACCGCGAACGAATAAAATGGGGCTTGAACGTCCATTTTCCTCCATTATGGACTTTCGTGGATATCATTCCTGGTGTACATCAGTCTCTTTCAGACCATCTGAAGAAGAATCTTTTGGGCACAGCATAAATTTACATCGACTGCTATTTAGATCGTCCATAATGGGCAAAATATGACTTTTGATGTATAGACTAGATGCCGACCGACCGACTTTATCGATTTTTGGGGAAGTTTGAGCTGCGGGGCTGAGAGTTGGTACAAGGGGGTAAGTGAGGGTGCTGATTATGGGTAAAAATTTACTTTATAAATTTTATCGATTTTTGGAAAATCTTGAGCTACGAGCTTGGGAGTTGGTACAGGGGTAAATGAGGATGCTGATTAAAACCGAAATCTATTTTATCGATTTCAGCAGTTTTTGGAAAATTTTGAGCTAGGGGTTGGTATAGGGGATACTAGGGGAGTGATTATGATTGGATCGGCTCTAGCCAGATATGTCGGCAAGTTTGAGATGTGATTGCTTTAGTTATTCGATAAATCATTCGAACATTTATTCGAAATTCGACTTCCAATGTTCGATTATATTCGATATTCATTCATTCGATATTTTTGATTTTCCGAATTTATTCGAAATTCATTCATTCGATATTTTTGATTTTCCGAATTTATTCGAAATTCATTCATTCGATATTTTTGATTTTCCGAATTTATTCGATATTCGTTTATTCGAAATTTTTCCTTTTCGAATTTATTCGATATTCATTCATTCGATGAAAAATTCTCGAATTACCCAAGTATAGTGAGTAAGCTACATCCTTCTGCACTCACAAGGGAAGGATACCAACTTAGATTCGCTTTTTGAGATAGGTCACATATATTTGAAATCAGCTTTGAATGCTGATTCCAAATAGGTTGTTCGTGGCTGCTTAGCATTATTCCGAAGCGAGTTATGGGCTTGCTATTGTGAGTAACTAACAAATGTCTGAATGACGTAAGATGGCGTGTGGATAAGAAAATCTGCTGGAAAAAGGTGCGAGGATTTGGAACTAACATCAGATCAATTATTTGTCTTAAAAGGAAGCACTATACAATTGCGATACCACATAGCGTCGACACGTAGAATCAGTAGGTGGAGAAACAAGCAAACTTTGCATAGGAAAGAAACCATGACTCGCTTCAGAATAACGCTAAGCAGCTAGGAACAGCATATTTGGAGTTAGCGTCCCAAGCTGATTCCAAATATATGTGCCTCATCTCAAAAGGCGAGTCTAATCTAGCATCCTTCCCTTGTTAGTACAAAGCACTACTACTTACTTGCCCACACCATGAATTCTGCTCCAAATAACCACCAAATTGTGAAAGTGGGAACCAGCCAGAATCTTTTTTTTTCATTTTTGGCTTACACTGGCTATGCTTCTTGCAACTATTGTATTAGGTCGTGTAATAAGTTCTGTCCCATTTTTTGTTTTAGTTTTTTCTTAAGACATTGGCTATATTTGAGATAAAGTGTATATGCTTTTTAAAGCTCTAAGTCTGCTCTGTAGGCTCATATCCATCACTCCTCAACATAGAAGAAAAATGAAAAAGACTTTTATCTTTGAAACAAAAAATCCAAAGAGCTAAAAAATCAATTTTCGACATCTTCTTTCCTCCAAATTTTGCTTTATTTTTATCGATGAAACTTACTGAACAAGCTTGACAACAACCAAAACAATCTGTTAGACTTTTATATACTTATTCTATCACTGTTTGCGCATGTTTCCATCCTTCCACCGGCTATTTAATGACATTTTTTCAAAAGTCGGCAAGGAAAGACTTTGTCACGGCGATGTTTGCCGTCTCGCATACCCAAGTGTGCGGCTCCCAAAATTCGAATTTTGAGTATTTAACCTACGAATTCGATAATTTTAAACCCACAAACCATCCCTTATGTCTTTTCTGGATGATCCGTTTGCCGTCTTTCCTCAGAATGCCTTCAGATGATGCCCAACAACCAACGTTGAAAAGGCGTTAAGAAGAAGACTTTTCTAAAGTCTAAGAAATGATTTTTGAAAAGTTTTAGCACTCCTGAAGCGCAATAGAAGCTAGAGCATTCTTTGCTTGCATGTAGCAAATTCTTCGAGCTTATTCGTAACCATTCTGACTAATTAGAAAGGCGACGTAACGTAGTTGTCGAAAATGAACTTTTCCTTGTTTCATTTTCCAAATTTGAAGCTGTAAAACTTTTGCAAGTCATCTGATGTAGAAAACCGAAATGAAAGTCTTAGTGAAGAAGGCTTAGAGCTTTCAAATGCATATAAACAGTTTACAGAACATCGCGCAAAATATTGAGAAAAAATCGAACGAAAAAATGAGACAGAACTTATTACGGAACCTAATACAAACGGAAAAGACGAATTCAATTCTAATCACTTCTACAAAAACTACGAATTTTGGCTATTGAACTGTATAAGATTTGTTTGCTGGAATTCCCTTTGGAGTTAAGCTGATGCGATGTGGCATAACCCCAGAAAACTGTAGTTGTCATGCCTTTTCAAGGTTTGTGCCACACTCCGTTAACGTGTCTTTGTGCATTCAAACATCTGTGTTTCTCTCGTTGCCACTGCTAAATCTTCTTCTCTTCGCAGCAGGAGTTTCATCCAAGTCGTTATTCCTTACCTATGCAAGTGGAGAATGATGCGTATTGGGTTAGGGTACATGCTAAGTCTTGACTACTATATGAATAGCGAAGGAAGGCGGTGAGAATAAATAGATACTTTAAAGCTCGTAAATTTTTACAAAGGTGATTTGAGTCTAATTGATCTTCTCTAGTCTGAGATATGGAAAGCGAAAATAGGACAAACGAGGTTTTGTCTCACTCACTCTTATGCTTATGTGCTTATGTACTTATGTGATAGAACATCGCAAAAGTAGTAACAAGAAGCATCATTTTGCTAGTATTTTGCACAATGAACCTATCTGACATTGTTAACGAATATAATGTTATCGCTAACATCAGTATCACCTTGACCCCCCCCCCCCCCATCTCTATCCCTCAACCTCCCATGTCAGTCACACCCCACGCTTGACCCTGCTTTGCTTGATTGAAAGGATTGGAGATATGGAGATTTGAGAGCTGTAGATACAACTGTCCACAGAAAGAGAAGAAGAGAAATAGAGTTTTGATCCTTACAATCAGTTTTCAAAAAATTGAAGAGATGTTGGTTTCCCTTCCAAACATTCATATGTCAATGATATATACGTTTTAATCTGGAAAAATTATATTCGACACACACCCTACACTGGTTTATTGTGTCGCATCTCCACGCACGATCTCCATTCTTTGCGATAGACCTGCAATATAGAGATGATTGTTATAACATCTGCTTTAGCTTTCTTCAGCTTTGTTGTCACTCTTAGTCGTAGAAAAAGTCATGCAAAATAATTCATTATTTATAAATGAGCAAATTTTTGTAGCTGCGTTTTATGTAATACAAAGTTGCACAACTTTTCCAGAACTATACAATACCACCCACAGAATTTGCAAAATTTTTGTACATCTCGCGGAATTCCGGATATTCCGCGAAAGACCTTAGAAACCCTAAATATTCTTCTGATCTAAAGGTCACGACGAATTGTGGAAGAACTCAGTATTCAGTTATTTTACATTTTTTATGAACTCTTCCCCTACTGCTATTATGTTTTTTGTTGAAGAGAATTGAATATGTCCAATCTCTTTCCTGACTGAAGTTTTCCAGGGTTCGGTGTCATTGTTAGACTCTTGATCCAATCTCAAAATCATCCAATAATTTCATTTCCTAATTCCTGTTTTTGCACATTTTTATAGTGCAAATTATTAATAAACTGCAATTTTTCTGCTGTCCTGATCGATATACCATGTGGCAGTTGCGCGATCTCTGAAGGAATTCTCGCACTTCAAGGTGATGAGGTGCAAGGCTGCTGCGAAAATCTCTCACTAAGAGGTTATGGACGACGAAAGCGCGTTTACGGTAGCTCAGCTTCGAAATATGAAATAACCCAAACATTTCGGAAAACTTGCTCATAAGTTTATCCGACCTGTTAATTTCGAAAATCGCATCTGCGTAGCAAGAGAACTTTATGGTGAGAAAATTTAGAACGACATTATTTTTCCAGAATTCACCAACCCTTCTATTTCCTTTGGAAAGAAAGTGTGTGGCTAATTCTTGGCGCCCCAGAATCTACAGAAGAAGTACTATCGAAAGGTCCTTTCTGGAATTTACTACGGACAATGCTCGCTGCTTTACATCTTTGCGAAGAGATGTCCACAGAAAGATTCAAGAGTACTGAAATCGAAATATCAAGGACATGCTGTACATTAAAATATTCGCCTTGATGAGCTGAGCACAATTTTTTTGGATTCACAAAATATTCACTCCAAAGAAGGGTACGGCGAGTAGAATTTGGGAACGCGTGATTTTTCCAGAATTCACCAACGCTTCTATCTCTTTTGGAAAGAGGTCTGCGGCTATTTTTCAGCGCATTATCTACAAAAACAGCACTATCGAAAATCAATTACTGTTATCTTTTATATTGGATAGGCGCTGCATTACATCCTTGCGAAAGAACCTCCGCAGAAGAATTCAAGAAAACTGGAAACGAGATATAAAGGACATGATGTATGTCAAAAGATTTGCCTCAACGAGCTGAACACAATGCTACTTTCGGATTCAGAATATACTCATTTTGAAGGAAGTTATGGCGCTGCGTAATTTGCGTTATTCCAGAATTTGGGGAATCCGAAATTTTGCGAAATTTCCGGAATCTCGCGGAGTTAATGGAATGTCGCGGACTTTCGCGAAATACCCGGAATTCCGCAACATTCACGAAAATTTTGCACATTCTGTGGGTGGTATTGTGAAGTGTTTCAAGCCAACTTTCTGCAACTTTGGTGAGCTTTTGCTGCTGTCAGACCAATCTTCGTGCGCAACCTGTATTCATTATAGAGTATACTTACAAGGGAAGGATACCAACATATGTCGGCGATCAAAGATGATATGTACTTATTAGATGCGCCTTTGAAGGCTGATTCCAAATCTGCTTTCAATTTCTGCGGAATAAGTTTCCGAAAGAAATTGTGGGCGTTTAAATGTCCAAATTTGTCAAGGTTTAGGTGGCCTAAAATTAGCGAAAAGCTGTTCAAAAACAGCGGAAAGTGAAAATCATTTTTGTATCGAGTTTATTGTTTGCAAGGAAGGAACAAAGCCGATGAAAATTGCATAGGTATTGTTTTAGAGCTTTTCGCTAATTTTAAGCCACTCAATGCTCGGCAAATTTGGACATTCAAACGCTCATAAACTCTCTAAACTTTCTCGCTCATAAGCAACGCTTTCTTGTAATATGTTATATGTTCTCTAGTTATGAAACCTGGGCATTTTCTTGAAGTCGTATGCTTTGTCATAAGCTACTCAGGTTTGTTACGATGTTTATCTGGGAAGGAAAGTAAGGAAGGCATAATTGCCGAAACGTTAGACCAAATAAACATCGTAACAAACCTGAGTGACTTATGACAAAGTATATGGCTCATAATTTCTTTCGAAAACATATTCCTCAAAAAATGAAAGCAGATTTGGAATCAGCGTTCAAAGGCGCATCTGATATACATCTCATCTTCAACTGCCAACTAATGTTGGTATCCTTCCTTTGTTAGAGTATTATAGAGACGTCAAGGTTTGATAACATCAAAGCTGCTCAATGGTCTCAAAGCTGTATCACGCATTAATCATATCGCATAACTCGCTTTAGCCCAGAAAGACAACATTGAAGTGGAAATGACTTACGTGTAACAGAATGTGACAGTTTTCGGGCAGTCACGCTTATGCCTATTATCTAATCCGGAGTCACCTTAATGATCAAATTTGTATGATGTACGATAAAATAAATCAAATTAATCAGAACGACCAATAGCTTTAGCATGTATAATTACTAGTTCAGGTTGTGGCCGCGTCCAGGGAGATTCTCAACCATTTTTTGTCTTATCCAGTGGCCGTATTCATCAACTAACCCTGAGGGTTAAACTAACCCTGGAGGGTTAATTTAACCCTGGAAAGCGTTTAACCCGTATTCATGAAACACAGGGTAGCTTAACCCTGAGGGTTAAATCTAACCTTGAGGGTTAATTTTACCCCGAAAGCGACTAACCCGTATTCATCAACGAACCGTGAGGGTTAAACTAACCCTGGAGGGTTAAACTTATGTGATTCATCAGGGTTAATTTAACCCTAGCCCAGAGCAAGGTTTACTCTACCCTAACACATCATACAAACATTTACTCGCATCTAATAGTTTTATGGAAAACGATCAACGAGTGTTGTAGTTTTTAGTGTTAGTTGTTGCTATAGTATTTGGTTTCGACTTCGTTTTATGTTCAAATTCGAAGTATATGAAACACTGACTTCGCGAGAAAAAGACTTCTAGCTTTGGTGACAAATGAATGCAATGAGGAAAAATGGTTGCGCGTTCCACTCTGACAAGTGCCAAAACAGAAGAATTCCTTTATGATAACACGCATTGACCCTTAAAAGAGTAGCACAAGCCCGGTATCAAACGAACTGCGCAAAAGTAGAACTTACACGGTAAATTGCACACATGAAAATAAACTCACGCTGTAAGATTGGATGCCGCACAAATATGCTAGAGATGTATTATAAAAGCTAGCGTTAGAAGCTTACTTGTTGATTACACTACTATCTAATATATAAAGAATCGTAAGCGCAATTCAAAAATGTGCACATAGCGGGAAACCACGTGGCGGTCCCGCAGCGCGCGCATGCTACTAGCACCTTTAACTGCTGGTTCACTAGTAACAGTGAAAGAATAGAGTACAAGTGAATTTAGCATGTACTTAGGCATTCTGTGATGTGAGTTTGCACAGCGCACGCGTAGCTGACGCCTCAACCCTCCAGGGTTAATTTAACCCTCAGGGTTCGGAATACGGCCACAGGTTCGTTGATCGATACGGATGGATTGCGTTCCGTGATAAACCCTATCCTATGTTGATGAATACGGCCAATGAACCCTGAGGGTTAAACTTACCCTCCAGGGTTAGTTTAACCCTCAGGGTTCGTTGATGAATACGGCCACAGGCCTTCTCATGGAACTAATCTCAAAAACGCGTTCAAAAAGTAGTCCATCAGAAACCTTTTTTGAGGCTATTTTTCGAGTACTGCAGCAGACTACTCTGCGCTAGTCCTGTTGAAAGTAAGCATAAACACTTTGAACCGTAAGCATTCTTTTGTGCTTGCTCTGTAAAAACGCAGCATGGTTCGCTAAAAGAAACAGCACATCAAAGTGGACGGTACCCACACCATACTCAGATCAGCTCAGACATGTCTTTGAACGGCTATGATTTAGTTTTTTTTATTGAGGAGTCTATCTCATAGTCAGTACCATTTGATAATTTTTCGACAATCAGTTAAGAGCTCAAATTGAGTTTTCGCCTATAGTTGCCCACTTGCTCATCAGTGACGGCCCAGGTAGGCACAGTTGTGATGTCAGCAAGGTTCGCATGCACTGACATCCGCTTCGTTTCTATCACTGCCCTCGGAGTCACCACAATGGGCGAACTACAGCCCGACGCAACTAGCGAATGAGCCAAATGAGAAGAAAGTAGCATTCTTATATTTTTACGTGCAAAGATCTTACTCAATCCTTTTTCGTCTCCATCAAAGCAAATTTTTCACAATAAATTGAGTTTTCTCTCAAGCTGCGTAGGCTCATTTCCTGTAGGTAACAGCAAAAACGAATCTTATAGCAGCAGTGATCGTCAAGAAGGACCGCAATGTGAGCGGCACTGGTCTACAGTCATAAGAGCCGAACCTAGTCGCTTGGTGAATGGCTTGGTTTCTTGAAATGATAAATGTTGATATTCAATTTTTATCTGATTATCTTTTGGGATGTAGGGGATAGTAGCAGGTTATGAGCTTGCGCAACTCATGGAAAGGACATGCAGGTCCCGTGATTGAACTATCCGTCGGCTCTTTTTTGCATGCATCAAACTTACCCTAATTTCACGCGCATAAGGCGCGGGGAATTTTTTTTTCAAAATCGACCAGCCCAGACACGCCAAAGGACTTTACAACCAAAGGACCCTATAACGTGCTGTATATTGCTTGGAGAATTGTGCGATGTAAGGACTTCTTCCCGGGATGCAGTGAACCGGCTGAGCGGCTCGCTTGAAAATTCGAAAAAGTGCGCTTTATACGCGTGAAATTAGGGTACTTCATTTTTATCCTGCACATGCAAATTTCATCCGAATCATATTTTAGTCCAAAATAAAAAAGGCAAAACTTTAAAAACAGATATAGTTTTTACAGTGAGCCTAGCGATGAGCACCAATTTTATAAAGCGCACACTTGCAATGCTATTTCCTTTCTTCTTTGATTTTTGAACGATCAATTTTTCTTACTCCAAGTTTTCTTTGGAGCGCTATATCTCATCAGGCTGCAACTTGAGCTGTTTTACTTTGAAAGTAGAATTTTTGATAAAAAAGAGAGTTTACAAAAGGCAAATATAAAATGGAAGTTTGAAGTGCCATAAGAATTGCATTTATATTCACTATGACTCATGTGCGTGAAGGTGAAAATGATGCCAGTAGATGGGCCTTTGTCTTTTCTTCACTTTGACTTGAAACTTTGCTAATTTTCTCTAGTCCTTTTCAAAGACATAGAAAAGAAAGTATAACAAGACTCATGGTCACAACTTGTTACATTGTGATGTTATTTTCATATACTAGTTATTATCTTATATATAAAGCTGAATGTCTGTCTGTATGTCTGTATGTATGTCTGTACGTATGTGCGGAATAGAAATTTTTATTTCTGAACCGATCGGGACCAAACTTGGCACACATATACTTCGGGGCAGGGAGCGTGTCATAGGCTACTTTTCGTTATCGATCGATATCGATTTTATCGATTTTTATCGATTTTTTTGCTGAGTTCACCTACGGGGCCGGGAGTTGGCACAGGGGGGTAATCGAGCATGGGGATTCCGAATGCAATATTGGTTTTCAGGATTATCGATTACTTTTATCGATTTTATCGATTTTTTTGCAAAGTTTGAGCTACGGGGCTGGGAGTTGGCACAGGGGGGTAATCGAGCATGGGGATTCCGAATACAATATTGGTTTTCAGAATTATCGATTACTTTTATCGATTTTATCGATTTTTTTGCAAAGTTTGAGCTAGGGGGCTGGGAGTTGGCACAGGGGGGTAATCGAGCATGCTGATCACCCCCAAGGGGGGTGATCAGCATGCTCGATTACACCCCTGTGCCAAATTCCAGCCCCCTAGCTCAAATTTTCAAAAAATCGATAAATTCGATAAAAGTAATGGACGATCCTGAAAACTAATATTGTATTCGTAATCTGCATGCTCGATTACCCCCCTGTGCAAACTCCCAGCCCCGCAGGTCAAACTTTACAAAAAAAATCGATAAAATCGATAAAAGTAATGGACGATCCTGAAAACTAATATTGTGTTCGTAATCTGCATGCTCGATTACCCCCCTGTGCAAACTCCCAGCCCCGCAGGTCAAACTTTACAAAAAAAATCGATAAAATCAATAAAAGTAATCGATAATTCTGAAAACTAATATTGTATTCGGAATCCCCATGCTCACTTCCCCCCCTGTGCCAGCTCCTAGCCCTGTAGGTGAACTCTGCAAAAAAATCGATAAAAATCGGTAAAATCGACATCGATCGATAACGAAAAGTGGAGTATGACACGCTCCCTGCCCCGAAGTGTATGTGTGCAAAGTTTGGCCCCGTGCGAAGCCGGGTACGCCAGCTAGTTATAGGTAAAATTGAGTTAGTTATCTTCCCAAGTCTTTTACTATTTCCTAGACAAACGTTTTGGAAATGGACTCATTCGTTACTCCTGTTGTCGACACGTATGCAAATTTGTTCACTTTTTTCTCGCGAGGTAAAATTGCTTCCAAAGGCAATGCCGCATTTTTTACAACTTCCTAATCTCAGTTATTTGACACGCTAAAACCTCACAAAAGTTACTTTCCCTGACTTCATCCATAATCAGAATGTACATTAGATGTCGCATCAGGAAGGCGGTAAGTCTGTTAGCAAAAGCATGCAAGCTAATGCAAGTCGCTGCAAAAAACGGTACCTGGGACAGGTTCAGAGTAGGGCCTGGCAGGCGGATGAAGCTGGAAATCGCTGTAGAAAAAAAGCAAAAGGTACCATAACTACACGTCGTATACACTTCGTGTCCCCTTCCCGCCCTAAACTTGTACAAGCCGTAACAAACAATCACTCAGCACGAGTGAAGTGCTAAAACACGATCTCGCTCAAAACGCCATTTCCATAATCACGTTTTTCGCCATCAAATAATAGACATGTCCCCTCTACAGTGCACATAAAGATTGTTCTGTCAAAATTGGTACGTAGACGGATAAGGGCCAGATGTAACAAGTTACGAAACGGAAAAATTTTTGAGACTGAAAGCTGCGAGCCTTCTTGGCAATTTTGCACTACTGAAAAATGGGAAATGTCTTGTTTGCAATGCAAATGCAATGATATGAATCTAACTTGGTGTGCATACGCTTATTGGTGAGTAAGAACAAAGTATGAAGATATTTGTAAAACTCATGTGATTGAAGATACGTTTTTTCCAAAACAGTTCTCATGACTCTTACCTAAATTTGTTCTACACTTAAACACTGTATACAGATTCAATTACAAAACTCCTATACTTCTTTTTGCTAGCTGAGTTCCAAACGAATCGCCTGCTTTTGAGCAAGAAAGCGCGCTGCAGCTAACTGCTACGCAAGATTACAGATCAAAGGCTGAATGGAATATGTGGATGTGGCAAAGGATTTTGTCTGACAGGTGTCTATTTGCCACCCTCATGTTCGGCCCTAGTTAAAAGGTGGGTTTTTTCAAGCCATAGATGCCATAGATGCCTTAGCCATAGATGCGCTGCCGCTGGGTCAGTGCCCTAGTCAGGGCACCGCAGTCAGTTTTCACGTAAAACTTCCACGTGCACGACTTGCCTGGACGCTACCTTCAACTTCAGTCTTAAAAATAGCTGTATTGGCAATAAAGTCTTTTACTTCGCCAATATTAGCTGTGAGTCAACCATTTTTAAGAGGTAAGCGATTTCGTTTCTAAAATACTTTCGCATATATTATGCATCAATACTTTACCTTCATAGCACTGCAAACTTTGAGCAGCAAGCGTGCTACTGAAAACAGCTAGGAGAATACAGGCAAATAGCATCGGTTTCATGGGGAGACAAATTTTGTGGTGTTAACTGTATCGATACATATCTAACATATATATCTGTCACATTCTTCTTTTTGAGTGCAATGATAAGAAAGGGTGACACATTCCAATACTTCTGAGTCAGCGCAAAGTGCAAATGTTCCTTTTTCGAACATAAATGCATTCGCAGAGTTGGCGACAATGAGATTGTTGCCAGCCATTTCTGTCATCACCACCACAACCAAGAAATTTGTAATGGCCCATACTAAACCTCCCTCACATCAGGGCGGCATCATTAATTTTTTCATGGGGTTATGTCACAAAAATGTTGGTTGATCTCGAACCACGGTCATGCGCAAATTGACTAGCGACAGCCTTATCTATTTGACCAAACTTGTGCGAACGGCTCAGATGGGGTTCAGTTGAGAACCTGTCGATAAAGCGATCCGTTTATAGATCGATGATACGAGTGATGCTGGTCTGTGGCGCCGTAAAGTCAACTTACAAGGGAAGGTCAGAAGTCGAAATGGCCAATCCAAGCAGTTGCCTACCGTTCAATGCAGCAATCAGCGCTGATTTCGAATCTGTATTCCATAACTGCTCAGCGGCTTTGCGGACGAAGTTAAGAGCAGTTTTATTGCAAAAAATTTGTAGATAAAAATCGCGAATCGGGCACACTGCTGCATTTTCAACTCACCTTTAGCATTCAAAAATATAAAGTAACCTACCTGCATGTTTTTGCCTAGCATTGAGCCGAACATGGCCTGTACTGCCAAATTTGTGCTATTGCTTGCATGATTCTTGGCAAAACGACGGCCTTTAAAGGCTGATAACTTTCGCCTACATAGGCGCTAAGCCAATATGGAATGCAGAATCAATCAGCGTTTCATACTGCATCTAACCGTAGGCAACTTGCTTGAATTGGCTGCTTCGATTTCTGGCCATTCCCTTGTTATGCCCCCCTCAAGCGGTTCAAAATAAGGAAGGTTTACTAAGGGCCATAATGTGAAAAGTGCATCTCAAGTTGGCAGCATTACTCGAAGTTATGCAGGCGCGGAAGGCACAGGCAATTTCCACGGACCTCTGACAGATCAGCGTTTTTTAAGGAAGGGACCACTCACCTTGTCATTATGCTCTCATCGCGAATGACATGCAGTTTTTGTTTCTTCCGTCTGAAGAACCGTCAGAATTTGATACAACGTAAAAGAAGACCTCTTAATTGACTCTTACATTATAAACCGTTTAGTCGCAGTTCTAAGGTGTATTTTCGCCGGTGAGGGCAGTGCCGCAATGAAATGCTTCTCGAACGAAGGTGCGTGGCGTTAGCTATGCAATCAAATTTCTGGGATGCTCAAATTCTTTGTGAGCTCATAATCCCGAGAGAAAATGCCCCAAAAATATCTTACAAACTTGATTAAACTCTCAAAAATTTTTGAAAATTCAACGATTTACAGATTAAACAAATCACTTGCAGATTTTTCAAAAAATTCCAAGACTGAGGTCGTACCCTCCTCCCCCCCCCCCCTCTCCACAACCCAACCCGCCACTTGTGCCATCCTTCGCTTGCGTTCAACCAAGTAGTGATCACGAGGGCGAGCGAGAATTGAATTGGTGTTTTTTTTACTGGGGGAAAAATCCCATTGCCGTAACGATATCAAACGAACCGCATAACATTACATGCGTCTTGATAAGTTGATTTAATTCAACTTCCATATCTGCACGCAGCTTTCTAGAAGAAGTTATGAGTTTAGCACATTCACTGCCACAACTTCAAGAAGTATTTGTTCAAAAACAGTCCGTTGTCGTTTATGTGTATGCGTTGCATTCCCTCTAGTCAGTACACCCAACACCATGATAATTCTGCAATCTCAAGTAATTTTCGAGGCACATTATGCGATAGAATTTGAAAACTTTACATATTTAATCGCTTATTTAGTCTTCCAGAAAAGCGCGCAGCAGATATGGAAGGTAGATTTAACGTCAGTTCAGAAGATGGATCTAATGATATTGTATTTCGTTCCAGATCGCTACGACTCATGATCCTTCCCTTGCAGTGGCGTGCTCAGGAATTCCGTTCGGGGGGGGGGGGACCCCAGAGGAAATTTTTGGAATGCTTCTCAAAATTTTCGCGGGCCCATACCCCCCCCCCCCCAAAAAAATTTTTTTTTGTAAAACTAGTTTGAATTTTTAAAAAAATTTTAAAAATTATTTCAATTACGTACAATATAAATAAGTCACTCGCACATTTTTATAACTCATGTTCGCAACCCATGTTCGGGAGGGGGGGGGGGCTCGGTACGCCACTGTTCCCTTGTTAGCCTTACGAGCTTAAACTTATCGAGACAGTTTGTAGAAGCTGATATTGATCTCTTTGAATGTTGTCCCATAATGCGTAGGTCGCCGATTTATCCCGCTTGTAATTCGTATTATTTGTAAAAGTGCAAATTCTAATGATAGAAAAGCTTATAACTTCCTTAAAAAAAACTCCGCAAGAGATAAGTCAAGAAAGCGGTGCTCAAAACACATAGCATTTCCCCTCTTTAAACGTAATATTGAGCTCGGAGCCTGCCTTGTGTCCCTTCTTATCACAGCCTAATGTAATCGATGGAGATCGTGCTCAGATGCGTGCCCCATTCCCACCTTTAGGAAGATCCGCCGCATCTATGCGCGACTCGCGTGCCCCGTTGAAAACCAAAAATAATGTGTTCTACGTGGGCAGTAAAAGCACCCCGGGACCAAAGATTTTGAGAGTCGTGAAAAGTCATGCTGGCGGGGGCCACGGGGGACGCTAATGTGGGAGTGCAAATGTACGCTATTGGATCAAGCTTAGGTTTCGAATTGTAGCTATTTGTCCACTCTGACCCATTGGTATAATGTCAGTGTGATTTCTCGGCTATATTAGTCACTGTCTGAACATTCTCAACTATTTGATTGTCTCCATCAGGAAGTATTCTGTTAAGGTAAGCATTCTCGTCCTTTTTTTTCTAAAGGATTTCTCTACTTTGTTTATCTAGTTCAACTGATTGCAGAGTATAAAATATGGCTTCAGTTTCACTTCTCATTACGTAAAACACCCATTTCATATATTATATGTTAGTATTATTTTATTACCCTAATTTTACGCGTATATGGCGCACTTTTTCGAATTTTCAAGCGAGCCGCTCAGCCGCTTCACTGTATTCCGGTAAGCAATCCTTACATCTCACCATTCTCTCAAGCAATATACAGCACGTTATAGGGTCTTTTGGTTGTAAAGTCCTTTGGCTTGTCTGGGCTGACCGATTTTGGAAAAAATTCCCCCGCGCCTCATACGCGTGAAATTAGGGTAATTGTTAAGCGAAATTTCTCGTTTTTTTCATAGAGACCACAATTGAATGCAAAGAATGGCACTGGTTAAGACGTTATGGGGAAGCATGAAAAACGCTGAACAGCTCAAAATTTACTACAGTGCGAAAAGTACTACTTCAAAGACAACAATCTATTAGGCTGGTGCAAAAGTAATGCGCGTTTTGCTACTTTGACCTGCTATAACTTTCTTGAAAATCCAAAATTTTTAATGCGATCCATCAGAGGCGGCAGACCTTTCGCAATACAGCGCACATCCTCCTAAGGTCTAGGGCATAGTTTCACCATTCCGTTGCTCTGGGATTTCTGCGAAACGACGATTGTTACGCACTCGTTGCATCCCATGTGTCTTCCACGGCGGTTGCTGTGGTCGTCTTGCGCGACGGATGGCAAACCGTTTTCGGCTAGAGCATAGTTCTGCAGCGATAATCGCCGCGATTTCGGCAAGACTCAACGATGTCGCGTTGCGAGTGCTGTATGGGAGACAGGGCGATATCGCTGAGGTGCATAGGGGATCTCGAAAGTTTTTTGTAGGCATACATTGTTCTTTCAGCTCGTTCATATTTAAAGAAAAATGAAATCTCTTCTGAAGTAGGTGAGTAGGAAAACTTCAAGTTTTGATGTCCTTTCCCGTGATTATGAATTCTGATGTGACCCGTCTCTTTTCTCCTAGATAATAATCAGAACTGATAGTTTTCAAGTGTATTTTCTAGAATGATCATAGTGTTGAGATGTTTGCTTTTTACAAATTGACTACGCTGTACCGTTTTCCTTGAGTGGATATCCTCAAGTCTCCACTCGCATGAATACAAAACAATTTGTTCGATGTTAATGCAATAGCGCGATTCCGTCCAAAACTTAGTAAAGAGTCCTTATTGTAGATAGACCCGCCATTGTTATCTACCTATCGTTAATCCTACTATAATAACGCGCTAAGGCCGTCTGTTTTTTTGTGTGTCTGTCTTGTGTTTGTGTGAAAATCTGTCTGTCACGAAATTCATAGAGGAAGCTGCAGCTAACAAGGGAATGGTCAGAAATCGAAGTGGCCATTCCAGACAAGCTGCATAGCGTTAGATGCAGCATGAAGCGGTGACTCTAAATCTGTTTTCTCTATCTGCTTATCGCTTTTCTGGACGAAGTTATAAGTCATTAAAGACCATTATTTTGCTCAGAAATTATGCGTGAAACTGAAAATTTAGCCGTACAGAGCCTCGTTCGCCTCAGTGCTGGGCCAAAAGATGCAGCTAGCTTACTTGAAATTTATGATGCCAGAAGCCGAGCTAAAAGTGCAGTAATGTGCTCAGTTTCGCTGTTTTTATGTATGATTTTTCTACAATAAAACCGCTTGTAGCTTCGTCCACAGAAGCGGGAAGCAGGTAAGGAAGACAGATTCGAAGTCAGCGTTTTATACTGCATCGAATGATACACAGCTTCTTTGGTTTGGCCACTTCGACTTCTGACCATTCCCTTGTAAGCTATCAAGCTGCAATTCTGCATAACATACCGCGCCAGCGTGTAGGCCCACTATGCACAAGGACAAGCCGGTTCGATAAGCGGGTCCCTAAAAATATGCGCGTTAAACGGGTCCACGCGCCTTTCGGCACGCAAAACTGGGTCGCTAATTAGACTTTTTGCAAAGTTATGATTTGCCTGACAAGTAACTCTGCGCGCCATGAATTCTAGCCCAAAATGTGCTCAAAAAGTTTGCTTTT